GTCGCCATATTTATTATTGACGTTTCGGAATTCAGTATCTGTCTATATTTCTGAGATGAGGTATTATGTACATATTTACATTATTCGGACTATTGTCCTCATCTTTGTCACCATATTTATTACAACGTTTCGGCCCTTCAGTATCTGTCTATATTTCTGAGATGAGGTATTATGTACAATTATTTACATTATTCGGACTATTGTCCTCATCTTTGTTGCCATATTTATTACAACGTTTCAGCCTTCAGTATCTGTCTATATTTCTGAGATGAGGTATTATGTAACACATGTCTTACATCATTCAGACTATTGTCCTCATCTTTGTCGCCATATTTATTTACAACGTTTTGGCCCTTATTTGTATCTTGTTATATTTGTGAGATGAGGTATTATGTAAACTATTTACATTATTTAATTTCATTGTCCCTTTGATTTTGTTTTTATTTTTATTACAATTATTTTAGGATATTTATTTTCAGTATCAGTCTATAAAATGAGGTATTATGTACATATTTAAATTATTCGGACTATTGTCCTATCATTGTTGCCATATTTATTACAACGTTTCTGGCCTTTAGTATTGCATTTTGTGAGATTTAAATCCATTTTACATATTTTAGAAATAATATTTATTATCTTCAAAATTATGTATATATTTAGCATTATTGGAATAAAAATATTTATTTTTTTTTATTTTTGTTTAACCCTTTTTTATCCTAGTTCCACGTGCCAAAAATATGGATGTCAGTTATTTATTCTAAAAAGAAGAACGACTCCACTTTGGGGGTTGAACTCACACTTTTGGGCCCTGTCACTGACATGGTTACTTATTTTAGTGCGTCATTATACTTATAATTGTTGCTAAGCGACACAAACAAAAGGCCATACATTATTTAATCGAATTAACCGGAGATAATCAAGAGTTTCTTTGACTTCGGTTTTTTTTGAAAACTGGATCTAAAAACGCCTTTATCCAATACCATGTGTCTTAGGACATCTGAATTTCTAGATTATAAACCTAATGTCTTCAGCAACCATTTTGCTGTTATCATTGCATATTTTTACCAGAGCTCATATATATCATTGTATTTCTCTGGCACTCCTTATTACTGGTTTCTATTTTGTATTTTTTTTATGTGTTGGTCGGCTCATTATTTCTTTCCTAGAATATCCAGTGACAGGACCCAAAGAGTGTGAGTTCAATAATCGGCTTGTTAAAAAAATTTAAAAATTAACAATTTTTCAATATTTTTCACTATAGTCCCCATTGACATCAATGCACTAAATCCAAAGATGTATTGCTATCCTATTACGGAAGAGGTGACATCCTGTCCTAATTTTACCCTACTCAACAAAAAGTGGCGGCCAGAGAGTAAAACGTTATAAGAAATTATTTTTGATAAAAAAAATGGATAAATTCTAAATTACAAGCAATATATAAATTGATCCCTCACTTTGTAGCCACGGTAGTTTCTATACATTCATATATCAGAGACTGTAAATAAATCTAAAAGACATGCCTGCGTAGCTAATCAATATTTGATTGATTGATTGATACGTTTTCTATGGCTTATCAACAATCAAGACATTATAATGTGGATATACACTGCGTGCCAAATTATTATCGAGATAACTTTTTTTCTAATATTTCAAAAACCGTCCAATCAATTTTCGTACTGATCTGCGCAATGTAAACAAACTGGCGCCATATTTGTTATCAGTCCGGTGATTTGACCGTGCCAAATTATTATAAATGTGTAAGAATTTAGTGAAAAGATGGGTCGTAAAAGCAGTTTAAGTGATGCTGAAAAGAAAACTATCACCTCAGAACTCTCAAAAGGTAAATCTACACTAGAAATTTTTAAAATGATAGGGAAGTGTCATCAAACAGTGAAAAAATTCACCGCCGACCCTACACAAATACGCAAAATGATTTTCGATTCTCACCTGTCGAAGTGCAGTTGAAATGCACTGAAACCAAGTTGCATCTTTGTAGTGAGTAAAATGGTTTTGTCTATATGATAAAATTATAATAAATAAATAATTATCGCTCTACTATCGGTATCGAGCCCTCTTTTGGATTAATGCTGCGAACATTAGAGTTTATATATTACTTTAGTTCTCATCGCATCGAGTATATATATATATATATATATATATATATATATATATATATATATATTCAGTTGTATGGATATTAGCTTGTGACCCTGGGTTTCACTCTTTTGCGGTCATCAGACAAACTGGTTTATTTTGACGGAGCATTTTGACGAAAAATTTGTCAATCTTATTCAACCCCGGTATAGACTGAGTTCATGTCGGAATTAGAAATTTAACTCTTAAATTTCGCCACGAACTCGGTTTATACCGTGGTTGAATTTGACTGACGATTTTTGGTCGATTGAAATAAGCCTGTTCCCCATAAGAGGTAATTTGGAATTTTATTGTGTACTATAGTCTTCACTCATCGGCTAAATCTCCACGCGCCAAATCCTGTAACCCGCTCCAGCAGGTGCGCTAAATCATGTGAAATTACTATCGAAAGGCGCTGCACTCTTTTGTGCATTGGTAGTACCGGAGAGGTATAACACCGTGATAATAAAACCTGAGGGGAGTTGTTCATTGTGTTCGTGGCAAATATTTGCACCAACTCCTTGTTATCAGCACTTCCAATAAGTATGGCTGGTTCTGCACAAGCCTTCACCATTCTAAACAAATCTTTTGTGTGGATAGTCTGCAGTTCAGTTCTATGTTCCTTCTTTGCAATTCCTCTCATACGTCAAAAACGACAGGTGAGTTCATTATATATATATATATATATATATTGTCATCCGCAGACAGACTGTTTCGCTGTATCACAGCTCATCAGTGTGGCTAGACATCCGGTTGCCTCTAGCTAGGATCGAAACCCAACTGAATTGTCGTATTTATTTTTAGATAAACACACAGTGACTGAGAGAACTCGATTCGATTTACCGAAGAGTCTTGCATTATTAGCAGTAATAGTCACTGTTTACAAACCCACACTTCCTCCCCAGAGAGCTCAAACGAATAAATTTTCTAGGAGCATATATATTGTCATCCACAGACAGACTGTTTCGTTGTATCACAACTCATCAGTGTGGCTTGACGCCCGGTTACCTCTAGCTAGGATCGAATCCCGACTGATTCTACCACTAAGTCGTTGGCGCACGGCATGGGTCAAGGTGAATTTAAGCGTATTTATTTTTAGATAAACACACAGTGACTGAGAGAACTCGATTCGATTTGCCGAAGAGTCTTGCATTATTAGCTGTAATAGTCACTGTTTACAAACCCACACTTCCTCCCCAGAGAGCTCAACCGAATAAATATTTCAGGAGCATATATATTGTCATCCACAGACAGACTGTATCACAGCTCATCAGTGTGGCTAAACATCCGGTTGCCTCTAGCTAGGATCGAAACCCGGGGGATTCTACCACTAAGCCGTTGGCGCACGATATGGATGAAGGTGAATTTAAGCATATTTATTTTTAGATAAACACATACTTAAAACATGCAGGCGTAACTTAACAAAAATGCAAACAAAAATTGCATTGAATCTCGATGGCCTGTGAAATTTGCCGTCTAACCTCTTTTCAATCACAAAGTATTTAAATACATACGTCGGTATATTTTAACTGCGCCAGTCTCTTTTGGGATGAATGCTGACGTCAGAAACTTATGTGCTGACGTACGAAGTCATTTAAGAGCTAGATAAATCCGACTTTTAAACGAAAATAGTATTTTTTCAGCTTCTTCAGGTTTCTCGGACGGATTTATTTATTTACTTCTTTTTATTGAAAGCAATGGTTTTTGATTGTTTATTTTGCTTCTTGTGAAAACAAAAAATAACTTCTGAAATGGCTTCGTTCGCGTGGTGACAGGGAGCATATTTTTTGTGATGAAGGCTCCCTTCATAAAAAGCCCTGAACAAATACACCTGCACTTGTTTGATGAATACAAATTTAGTATTCCTATTACAAAGGTAATAAAGCCACTAGGACACAAAAAGGTTAGTAAGTGTAAGTGAATACGAGAATAACTGCTATTAAGGAGAGAGGACAATAAAAGAACAAGAATTAAGAAGACAGAAGATAACGATTGACATTGCATTTAAATTTTTAAAGATCAAATTGAGAATATGAGAAAAAGAAAACACTATTAATATTAAGAGAGGACAATAAAAGAACAAGAATTAAGAAGACAAAGATAACGATTGATTTTGATTTTGATTTTAAAGATCAAATTGAGAATTTATTTAAAGAATTTTTGAACATTATAAAAGAACAAGACCGGAAAGCAAGAAGCCGGAAGAGAGTTCCACAAACGAGTTTTCTTTTTGTCTCCATTTTCTCTAAAACCTCGTACATGGTATCCTCAGCATCCTTCTGTTGAACCACAAATTGCTTTAAGCCTCTTCTTCATTTTTTAGAAGATAGTCCATCATTCACCTCTATATAGGAGGACAGATATCACGTACTATTTCCGTATGCTTTTATTTGTTTCTAACGAAGTTTTTCTGTCTCTTAATACCATGCTTAGTTTTTTGATGGCATCTTTGGCTATCACTATGCATCTTCGGAATTAAGCAATCAGTTTAATGGTCAAAATTCTAAGTTGCTTATTTAAAAAAATAGGCATGTTGGTTATTCGATGTTTCTTTTTACTTCTTTAAGTAGGTACTTATGGAAATTGTCAAAGGGCCTCATTTCTCGAGCGCTTAACAAGTCGCAGGGAAATTATGGCCATGCTTATCACTGTTTCCTTTCTCTCTCAACCCCACTAATCATCTCTTTTAACTATTGTCCTCTTAAATGCTACGACTTTTCCACTTCCATCATTACCGACTCATCAATGCAACTCTTAGTGAGTCGTAAAAATCAAGACTTCACGCATCGCGGAGTAAATCGGTCTCCATTGGCGCCAAATGTCTATCGCTTTTTCTTTTTTTTTTCTTTTTTTTGCATTAATCCTTATTACGACAAGTATATCATTTCACGTCTAAAGAGAGAGAGAGAGGAGAGAGAGAGAGACTAACAGATAGAGAGTGAGAAAACTAGAGTCGGAGAGAGAGAGAGAGAGAAATAGAGAGAGAAAAACAGAAAATTAGAGGCGAAGAGAGATCTAGAAACTGGGGAAACTAGAGGTGAAGAGAGAGAAAGAAAGATACAGAGAGAGAGAGAGAAAAGGAAGAGAGCAAACGAGAGAGAGAGAAAGCAAAGAACTTGAGGAAAGAAGAGGCGAAAAGAGAGAATGAGACTGAGAAAACTAAGGGCGGAGAGTGAGAGAGAGAGACTGATAAACCGAGAGAAAAAGAGAGAGAGAGAGAGAGAGTGAGAGAAAGAGACTGAGAAAACTAGAATCGGAGAGAGAGATAGACAGACTGATGGAGACTGAGAAAAATAAAGTCGGAGAGAGAGACAGACTGATGCAGACTGAGAAAACTAGGGTCGGAGAGAGAGAGAGAGAGATAGACAGACTGATGGAGACTGAGAAAAATAGGGTCGGAGAGAGAGAGAGAGAGATAGACAGACTGATGGAGACTGAGAAAACTAGGGTCGGAGAGAGAGAGAGATATTTTTTGATGGAGTGAGAAAATAGGGTCGGGGAGAGAGAGAGAGAGATAGACAGACTGATGGAGACTGAGAAAAATAGGGTCGGAGAGAGAGAGAGAGATAGACAGACTGATGGAGACTGAGAAAAATAGGGTCGGAGAGAGAGAGAGATTTTGATGGAGACTGAGAAAATAGGGTCGGAGAGAGAGAGAGAGATAGACAGACTGATGGAGACTGAGAAAACTAGGGTCGGAGAGAGAGAGAGAGAGAGAAAGAAAAAACCAGTGGTAGAGAGAGAAAGAGAGAGAGAGAGCAAGGGGAGAGAACAAAGAACTTGAGGAAACCAGAGGCGAAGAGAGAGAAAGAAAAAAACCAGTGGCAGAGAGAGAGAGAGAGACAGACAGACAGACAGACAGACAGATAGATGAAGAATGAGAAATCTAGAGTCGGAGAGAGAGAGACAGACAGACAGATGGAGACTGAGAAAACTAGAATCGGAGAGAGACAGACAGACAGACAGATGGAGATTGAGAGAAAAAAACAGAAAACTAGAGGCGGAGAGAGATGTAGAAACTGAGGAAACTAGAAGAAGAAAAGAGAGAGAGAGAGAGAGAGAGAGTAAGAGAGAAGACCAGTGGCAGAGAGAGAAAGGGAGAGAGAGAGCAAAGAACTTGAGGAAACCAGAGGCGAAGAGAGAGAAAGAAAAAACCAGTGGCAGAGAGAGAGAGAAAGAGAGAGAGAGAGAGAGAGAGAGAGAGAAAGAGAGAGAGAGAGCAAAGGACTAAGAAAACCTGAGTTGGAGTGAAAGAGAGCGAGAGACTAAGTGAGAAAATCAGAGAGAGAGAGAGAAAGGAGAAAGACAAACGTGAAAGAGTGAAAGTGTATGAGTGAGATACTCAAATGATATAATTTAATCCCATAGAAATGTTATCGTTTTTCCTAGTCATTAATATCTTCACCATGTCATATTTATTACAGAGTTTATCGAATTATTCAAGAGTCTGTTGTTTGTCAGAGAATTTTTTTGTCAAAGAATCACTCTCATTCCTAATATTTGATCGCCAAACAAGAGAATGACTGACATTAACAGTCCGAGAGAGAGAGAATGAAGAATGAGAGAGAGAGTGTGTTAGAGAAAGAAAAGAACTGAGAGAGAGATTCTAGAATTAGTATCATCCTCTCCAAACATTAGGAAAAGACGGAGTTGAATGACAGAATACGAAAAGCATGGAAAAAAAATTTTTATAAGCATATGTGTGTGATGCATATTTAATTGACCAACACAGAAATATTTCTTTTAAGAAGTTATGAATTATTAGTTTACCAAATGCATATTGGCTGGCCTTGGAGACCATCTATCGTCGGTACAGATATTTAGCAGAACATTTTTAATCTCTAAAAGGCAGGATGTTTGTGTGTAACGAATGCACGGCCGCAATTTTCGACGGATTTGCACCAGAATTTACATGCACGTGCTCCAAGTTAGCGGGAAGTTGACCGACTTTACATTTCCCAACTCCCATCGATAGTGGAAATAATCGATTTTTTCATGATCTACGGCAGTTTTCATGTAGTTTGCGGTCATTTTGTACTGGCCAGAGTGAGAGCCTATAGCTGGCTGCCACGAATAGGCAGGAAGATTCAATTGGCCAGCATGAGAGCCAACAACTGATTGACACAAAGCAAAAAAAATCGATAGCTGCATTCGTCACAAGTGGGAAAAATTTAAATCTGCATGACACTTTACTTTGGCTAATTCGCTTGCTTAAACTCAACGTTGATTCTGATTCCGCAGAACTGGGTTGGGTGTGAAAAAGTATTTTATCATTCGGTTTTTCCAGTTACGAGTCCTTTTTTAAAGCTGATTGTTTTGTGTTCATTTTGTTTAGTTCTTTTTTCGTAACAGATTTAATGTTTAGTATAGAGCTTAGAAAAGAAGTAAGGAATGTAGCAACATCAGCACGGCAAAGGGCAATCCTTTAATGACAAGGAAGGGCAAAAATATTTTAAGTCAAGTGATAGCGATTCCTGTATGAGTCGTACGATTTTTGAATCAAGCACGGCAACGCCGGGCCATGCTGCTAGTAAAAAATAAAAACAACTGGAGTGATGTAGGCAGACCATAAATGTAGAAAGAAAACATGGTACCAAAATACATGTTCTATGCCTTCTCTCCCATCCAGAAAAACAAAGCTAGCGGATGTCATAAAAGCTATTTTTACTCAAATGTCCGGCACATCATTTACAAAAGGCTGTGTTTACCCACACGTCAGGAATGCATCTTCTATTAGCGGCGACGAAGACTGTCTTCTCTATTGATTGAGCTCCGATGGTCATATGACCGTCCAAGCGTGGTACAGACTAACCGGGGAAGAGTAAGGAAAATTAATCCCGCCCAAAAACATCTATAAAAACACGTAAAAAAAAAGTAAATAAATCTACCCGAGAGAAATATTTAGATGATCAAATACGCAAAATCGAAATTTACTGCTAAAATACAGGATATATATTAAAATTAATCAGTTTGTCTAACGATCGATCTCGCGTATCGTGCGACCCCCAAATGTTCACTTATAAAAAATGATTTTATCATGTATTTTATGTATCATGCGGGTTTCATTTTTGATAAACCAAATTATAATAGACTAACCTCTTTTCCTCTATCTCTTTATCCCATCTTCTGGTTAAATAAGTTCAAAAAGTAAAAGAGAATGATAAAAGTATCGTTAGTAACGCTACACTCGTTGCGTAAACACGTACAGCCATAAACAACCAAACGAGAAACAGCTAAACATCTTAGAAACAAAAACAAGGGAAAAGATGCATATTCGTTATGTTTGTATTTTATAATACGATATTAATATGTGAATATTACATGCATTATTATTGGATGCAGTTAAGTAAAACATTTTCAGTAAACAATGCAAATTTAAAGCATTTTGTCGTATAATTTGTACCCAGTTGTATTATGGAATTATATAAACTTTTATCTATTTTTTTTGGTTTTATTAATTATGATTTAAGAAATAATCTAACAAATATTTTTCATTAAGCAGCCCTTTTTTTTTACAATTTTCCTTATCAGTTTTTACTTATTGTATACAGTAAAAAAAAATATATTTTCCTTGTGGCGATTCATAATTAAAATTCTGGCTTGAATATATTTCCATTCAATGTATCTAATTATACAAAAATATCAATTTTATTTAGATTTATTTTTGAAATAGTAAATTTTTCAAATCAGTCTATAAACAAAAAAAAACCTGCGGAAATTGGATATTTACACGATCTTTAAAAGTAAATGCACAAAAATTGGGAAAAGCTATGAATCGAATTTTTGCTATCAGTCCGTAGCACATCAAATTGCACATCGATTGCAATGTTGATTTTCCAAAGAAGTAAGTAATCATCTCAAATATAAATAACTTATTCAAGTTAGCTCGGTCTGGCATAAGGTATTAGTAATGGAGCGCCAAGTCAGAAATAATCTCTTTACACAAGTAATGTGGCATGTGAGATTAGCTTGTTAACCATAACTCGATGAAAGACATCCAAAAACTAGTTACTCTTGACTGGCTTAAGACTGAAAAAATAAACGAAATATGTTATACTGTCGTTTTAGGGTGATTTTCAATAAACAATGCAAATTTAAACGATTTTGTCTTATAATTTATGACCAACAGTATTATAGTGTTATATAAGCATTAATCTATTTTTGTTGGATTTATTAATTATGATCTAACAAATCTTACTGAGATGGCGTTTTTGTAATATTTTACAATTTTCTTTTACTCAGTTTTTATTTATCGTATAAAATAATTATTTTATAATATGATGAGTGCACTCGAGTCGGAGTCGCGATCCGTCTTGGACTCAAATTATGTGAGCGTCACAGATGCAGATGTGGAGCTTCCATCGAAGAGTTTGGTTTGCATCCTCTCTCCTGTTGTCGTAGTGCCGGCCGCTTTCCACGGCATGCAGTCATTAACGACATCATCAAAAGAGGTTTGGATGCAGCTGATTCCCTTCGCAAATCGAACCCGTAGGCCTCGACCGCGGCGATGAAAAGCGGACGGATGGCATTACTTCCCTTTTAAAATGGGGAAGTCGTTGATTTGGGATACGACCTGTGCGGATACATTTTCGGCCGGTAATTTAATCAGGTCCGCGGTTGAGCCAGAATCCGTCGCCCGGGACGCAGAGATAAAAAAAAATAGTTAAATATTCTTCTCTTGCTGATAGATTTTTTTTTTACTCCTGTGGTAGTGGAGACTTCAGGGGTTATTGGCCCTCGTTCGATGCCGTTCCTTCGGAGGATTGGCGCGATTGTGTCTCGATTAAGGGACGAGCCTCGCGAAACGGAATGGCTCTTGCAGTGTGTCTCACTGGCGATGGTTCGAGGTAATGCTTTCTCCATCATTGCGGCTGGCAGAGGTTAGAAAAAATTGTTTATAGTTATGTTGTTCTGGAATTGTCATCAGTGGTCAACTGTAATTGTTTTGTTTCAATAAATTTATCCTATTCTTTATTGATTATAATTATAATATTAATACAATTACAGTTTTTATTTATTAAATACAGTAAAAAATTGTATATTTTCCTTGTGGTGATTCATAATTAGAATTCTAGTTTAAATATATTTTCCATACAATGTATGTAATACAAAAAATAACCTTATTCGGATTTATTCTTGAAATAGTAATATTTTGAAATCTGTTTGCAAGTAAAAACCTGCGGAAATTGGGCATTTAGAAAATCTTTAAATGTAAATGCTCAAAAATTGGTAAAAGCTGTGAATCGAATTTTGCTATCAGTACTTAACACATCAAATTGCACATCGATTGCAATGTTGATTTTCTAAAAACAGTGAAAAATCAACCGGCCGTAATGACTCAGGAGGCCAATTTGGATGTGGAACAGACTTAGGTCTTGATTGCTTGTTGGGGTGGGTGATGATCTTGACTTCAGTTGCCGGAGACGTGCATTTTTGCCTTCCTTCTCCTCCAGTTTTTCTCCTCCCCTCGAAGGTGAAGCAACCAAAATAAATCGCTCTTCGCTATCATGGAAGGCTTCTGCTTCCGTAATGTTAGAGCTCATTTTCGAGAGAGTGGAAACAAAGGGGAAATTTATGCTTAACATGAGGAAGACAGAGTTGAAGATTTTGGGACACGTAATTAGGAAGGAGAGCTTAGAAAATCTGACACTCACAGGTCGGATAGAGCGAAGGCTTGGAGGTGGAAAGTAGGTCTTGTAGGTGAAGCATTATTGTCCACTCAGCAACTTTTTTGACAATGTTGAAACGACGCAAGCTTATCTTCTCTCTCCATTGAAATCCATTCTTTAGTCCGACCAGTTCAGACTTTTATAATATGATACAAATATGTGACTATTACATGCATTATTATTGGATGCAGTTAAGTAAAACACCAGTTTTATCAAAATCTTGCGTATTTTAAATAAAGCTGTTCTTTTTAAATACAGTAAATGGATATATAGTTTGGTCAACGGCATAGCTAGAGCCAGCAGTATATACTGCTTTTAAATGTCATGTATTATGTGACCCTCTTAAAATTAGCTTCAAAATTAGGTCTTCAAAAGTAGCATGATACGTAAGTATATACGGTATATATAACAAACCAACCTATAAGAATATTTTTTGGAAGTTACTGAAATCCTGTCGAGATTATAGAAATGGATAGCATATACACTGTCCAAGAAATGGGGGATGAGTTTAATACTAAAGAACAATACAAAACTGATCCCTCACTTTCTAATATTCGTTCATTTTATTACCTATAAGGATGTTTTGGAATTTTGTCTATGAATCTACTATGGCCAAGAAATGTGGGATGAGTTTAATACTAAAAACAATACAAAACTAATCCCTCACTTTTGGTAATCGAAATTTAGTTAAAGACCAACAATATATAGTTCTTTGTTAAGGATTATTTGTTCCAATTTGATTTCTATATTTCAGATCATTTTCTTGTTTTCTGAGAAAAGTTTAAGTATAATTTGCCCAATACCTGAGCATTTTCGGCTTTCATAAAACAGAGTTTAAGTTTCTGGGACACGTAATGAGGAAGAAGAGCTTGGAAAATCTGACACTCACAGGTCGGATAGAACGAAGGCTTGAAGGTGGAAAGTAGGTCTTGTAGGTGAAGCCTTATTGTTCACTCAGCAAATTTTTTGACAATGTTGAAACGACGCATGCTTTTCTTCTCTTTATTGCCACTTCCATGGAACTCCATTGAAATCCATCCTTTAGTTCAACCAGTTCAGACTTTTACAGTTCGAGCAGGCTATCCTCTATCAACACAGACGAATCACTCCTATTTTTGCTTCATATTCCAACATCCCAAAATCTTTTTATTTCTAATCACCTCGCCTCAGATTTTTTTAGGGTCAACCATGTGTTTATATGTCATCTGCTGTTTTTTCTTTCTTTTTTTGCAAGCGCCAATTCTAAAAACAAAACAAAAAAACAAAACTTTTGAGTTTTAATGAACTATACATGATGAAATGTCCGTCTGTTCAAACTGGATATTGCCTAAATCTTTTTCTGTGATTTTTCTTCATATAATCGTAAAAAAAAATGACGACCCCCAACTAAAAAGTACACATAAATTACCGAAAGGGGGGGGGTTGAAACATAACCCCCAAAATATTTACGAAATACGGCAGAAACAGGATAACTGAAAGAAAGAAATGACCTACATGGATTGTTCGGGGAGATTTTTTTTACACCGATATATAGATACTTAACACAAATTTTCCCCACACAGAGAAACTATAACATATATATATGCAACAAGAAGTGTGAAAAGGCCAAAAAGTGAGAGGGTCTTACTTGTAATATTGTCGGGTGGTGGTTACATGCTGCATGTTCGAACATTATTATAATTTTTAACTAGTATTGATGCTGGAAAAAAATGATCACCTCATTGCATCATTCTAGAAAGAAAAATTCTAAGCATACAATGCGCAGGCCTTGTGTTTATCCAGTTTGGAAATGATAGCAAAAACCATGGATAGAGTTAGGTGCATGTCACCTAATAGAGTAATGCTGCCATATTTGGGCTGGAGCTTACTCACTCACAATTGTCGACATTGACAAAGTTCAAAACCATTTACGCCATCTTGTAGATAAAGACTTATTGTCCACCCGGTAACCTTTTTTGAAACGACACAAGTTTATCTTCTCTCTATTGCTACTTCCGTGGAACTCCATTGAAATCCATCCTTTAGTTCAACCAGTTCAGACTTTTACATCTAGGACATTCCCACTAGGTTCAAGGACACCAACAGTCCTCATTTCCCCGGAATTCCAAATATAAAAAGTAAGTTCCGATAAGACGGCATTTTGCTAAGGACTGCTACTTTATGGAAGAGACTCCTGCGTGGGTGTTCTCCTGAACAATACAAAGCTGACCTCTTGAATTCAATAATCAATCTTTATCTATACTCCTTGCTATCATTATCTTCACTTCCATCACCTTCTCTTTCATTCATATCAAGCAACATATCATAAACTTCAGTCACTTTCCCACAACTCTAATCTCACTTCCCTGTGCCTTTCTATAAATAACTACATGGTAATTGTTCTGATGAACTATGATAGGTAGGCTTATTGAATTTAAACGTAATACTAGATTGGCGGCAAGGTCCCATTATGTTATATTGAAATGGCTAGAGATAACCGTAAGTTCTATAGTAACAGATTCTTCTATGGCATTTCTCGTTTGTGGAACTCTCTTTAAGCTTCTTGATTTCCGCTCAACTTTGACCTTCGAAATTTAAATGCAATGTCAATCGTTATCTAGTGTCTTCTGAATTCTTGTTTTTTCAATATTCTCCCTCTTTAAAGATTTTTTATTTTTCTCCTTCTCTTACACGCAGTAACCACCTTGCGTCTTAGTGGTGTTATACCCTTGCTTGGGGTGAAATGATTAAAAAGTAATTCTCTTCTCGACATTCTGCGGATCTCTTTAATGACGCTGGGCCCAGAAGACAAGTGCATACCGTAGAAATATTCTCAAAGAATCTCGTTATAATCCTTGCAATTCCGTTTCTCCTCTTTCTTTAGATTGTGATACAAGCGGGCATTTATTTGTATCGGGTGTACTTTATTAAACACACACACACACACACACATATATATATATATATATATATATATATATATATATATATATATATATATATATATATATATATATATATATATATATATATATATATATATACACATATATATATTATATATATATACACAACACACACATATATATATATATATATATATATATATATATATATATATATATATATATATATATATATATATATATATATATATATATATAGTGTGTGTGTGTTTGAACAATAAAAAAAATATTAAGAAAATAAAATTTTCAGACACACTGGGTTGTATATTAATATTTTTTGTTTTATTATTTCATTTAGGTTCCTCGACGAGTTTCAGCCAGCATGGTCATCATCAGGAGAAAAAAAAATCACTGCTTGTTAGTAGCAGTGAACTACAGGAGTGAATACTATCAGTAGTTTTCATTTGTTATTGTTAATTTTGTCTTTCCTTGTGGTAGTTAATTAACCTCTTTCAAGTTGTCTTTTAAGATAGAGGCTGAGAGATTCTTGAATCTCAGTATTCCCTCCTTCGTCATTTTTACAGTTTTATTGGTGTATGGGAAGGGTGTGTGTGTGTGTGTGTGTGTGTGTGTGTGTGTGTGTGTGTGTGTGTGTGTTACACGTGTATGCTATCTTTTAGCTCTTTGGGAGTGTGTGTGATGTGCGTAAGTGTAGATATTAGTGTGTGTATAAGTGTGAGATCTCAACACCTCAGCAAGCATATCTGTATATATATATATATAGATAGATAGATAGATAGATAGATAGATAGATAGATAGATAGATAGATAATGTTAGTGGTCAATATATATCAGGTCATCCCATAAGTTCTGTTCGAATTTTGAATAAAGAAAACAAGTGACCAAATGTTACATTTAATTACAGATTCAATCAACAATGTATTTTCCCTGATTATCTATGACTTCCTTCCATCTATTAACAAGCTTACTAATTCCATTACTGTAAAATTCTTTTGGCTTTGATTCGAAGAATTCACAAATGTCAGTTTTAACCTCTTCCTGTGTTACAAAAGCTATTTCTTCCAAATAATTCTGTAAGCTATGAAACAAATGGTAGTCTGAAGGAGCAAGATCGGGAGAATAAGGTGGATGAGGAATTTTCTCCCAACCAAGTTCTTCGATCTTTTGTGACGTGATTCTTGCTGTGTGTGGTCGCGAATTGTCCTGATGAAACATCACCTCTTTTCGATTCACTAGAGCAGGTCTTTTTTACCTCAAAGCTTGTTTCAAACGCTCTAATTGCTGACAGTATATTTGAGCGTTAATTGTTGCATTAGTTGGTAAGAATTCAAAGTGGATTATTCCTTGGCGATCCCACCAGATTGAAAGAAGAATCTTTTGCCCATGAAGTTCCCTTCTCGGTTGTGGCTAGAGTCCTTCCCCTTTACCAAGCCACTGTCTACGACGCTTAACATTTCGATAAAAGATCCATTTTTCATCGCCAGTCACAAATCAATGCAAAAAAGGGGAAACAAGTTGGCGAGAATGGAGAGAAGAGCAGATGTCAACTTGGGATTTGAGGTTGTTTTCAGACAATTCATCAGACACCCATTTTTCAAGTTTAGGAACTTTTCCAAGTTGTTGAAAATGACGATGAACAGTTGTATGGTTTGAACTGAGAACCACTGCCAATTCCTCAACTGATAAAGCAGGATTTTCTTCAAGGTCTTCTTCAAGAAGCTTTTCATCAAACTCAACTGGACGTCCGGTTCGATCTTCATCTTCAAGGGTGAAATCTCCACCTCTGAATTTTGCAAACCATCTTCTGCAAGTTCTTTCATTCACACATTCCTCTCCATAAACTGAGTGAATGTTTCTAGCCGCTTCGGCTGCTGAGTTTCCTTTCTTGAACTCATAAAGCATTATGTGCCTCAAATGATTCTTGGGTACTTCCATATTAGCAGGGTTTTAATCAAACAAAATTTAATTTTATTGTTCTCTGAAATAAAATTTGATCAGTTTAAATGCATCTAAACATAAAAATAAATGTTCAGCTCCAATAGACATTATAAAATACTCTTTAAATTTCGTTCATTTTTAAAAAAAAGTTAAAATTCGGACAGAACCTATGGATGACCTGATATATATATATATA